AGGGCATTATGAATTTTTACGCTTACCATTTGGACTTAGTTCTGCGCCGGCAACTTTTACTCGAGCCATGAAATCTATTTTAATGGGCTTGGAAGAGTTATGTACGGCGTACCTAGATGACATTGTAGTCCACGGGTCAAGTTTAGTAGATCATCAGAATAGGTTAGAGCAGGTGTTTACGCGATTAAGACTACATAAACTGAAATTGCCGGCGCATCCGAGTTGGGTCCCGAGTACTAGGGATAAATCACAGGTACTACACTAGTTGGGTCCTGGATTTTTTTAGGTACTACACTAGTTGGGTCCAGGATATTTTTGGGTACCACACTAGTTGGGTCTGAGATTATTTTAAGTAAATATACAATCCAAACGAAAAATGATATTGAACGATGGAGATGCACTCAGAGAACATGTAAGTCATTTTTTTAAATATTCCAACGATCAATTTATCAAAATTTATAAAAAACAAAATGAATCAAAAAAATGCAGGAATAATAAATCGATTTGATTTTGCAAAATTAATGTCTTAAAAAATTTTAAGAACACACGTGTGATTTCTTTAAACAATATTTTATTTATATTATACAATACCTATGTATTTTTTATATTTGATTTATAACAATTTTAATATTTTTCTTTGTTTAGTACCAGCATGTTATTGCCATTTATTATTCAAATAAAATTCTAATAATTTATATTTTTAATGGCAAATAAACTAAAAAATAAATTGTAAAAAACATTTTTAACCATAACTTTGGTCTAAATAAACAGTCATAAGTCTGTTAAAAAGGGAAGAAAAATAAACTTATGTAGTACTCAAAAAAAAAAAATTAAGACCTCAACTATTGTTGTACGTGTGAAAATTCCGGACCCAACTAGTGTAGTACCTGCATAAATCCCGGACCCAACTAGTGTAGTACCTGCAAAAATCACGGACCCAACTAGTATAGCATTTTTGAATTCGGGACGCAATTCGGATGCAGCCGAAATTGCAACCTAGTAAATGTATGTTTCTACGAAAAGAGGTGTTATATTTAGGGCATGTGATCAGCGAAAACGGGGTAACGCCTGATCCAAACAAATTAAGTTGTATTAAAGAATATCCGAGACCACTAAACGAGAAAGACGTAAAGTCATTCTTAGGTTTATTAAATTATTACCGCCGATTCGTTGATAACTTTGCCAAAATAGCAAAACCTCTTACTAGCTTATTAAAGAAAACACACCGTTCGTGTGGACGGACATGTGTGAAGACGCATTCCAAGAATTAAAAGACGCGTTAATGAATCCACCTCTACTTATCTACCCTAATTGGGAAAACAGCGAAATTTTAACCTCATGACCGATGCAAGCCAATACGCAATTGGAGCGGTCTTGTCTCAAGGTGACGTACCTAAAGATCAACCCATAGCTTACGCAAGTAGAACTCTAAATACCGCCGAAACAAACTATAGCGTAATACAAAAAGAATTGTTAGCGATAGTATGGGCTGTAAAGTATTTTAGGCCTTACTTATACGGGAAAAAATTTAAAATAATCACCGATCACCGTCCATTAACGTATTTATTCAATATAAAAGACGTTTCGTCTCAGTTAATGCGATGGCGATTACAGCTCGAGGAATACGATTACGAAATAATCTATAGAGCAGGCTCACAACATTCGAACGCGGATTGCTTATCCCGTATACATGTTGTTACCAATGATGAGCCAATTAGCGATTTCGAAGAGTTTAAAAAAGCAGAAGGTAAACCGATTTTTAATTCCAAAATAACTGAAATAGAGGGAAGTATAAAACACGCGCAAAATAATGAAAATATAAGGTTACCTATTTCAAATGATAAAATAATAACGCATCCAGCGATAAGAGATGTAATAAACAATAACGATTTACCGCAGCAGGTAATTTTTAATGATAATAATAAATTTGTTTTGATTGAACAAACCGACAAATTAGTAATATTCTACAATCTTAAAAATAATCATTATACTACAATTAACGCCGAGAATTATTACGACGCTATTAAAGAGATTAAAATATATTGTATTGAAAAACGAATTAATCGATTCTCGACAATCAGGCTAGAAGGGTTAACAATGTCGACCTGCTACGAGCGCATACGCATGATGTTCCGTTACATATTCCGAAACACTGATATAGCAGTAACTATTTATAAAAAACAAATTTTTACGGATGACAACGGAAATATAACAATAAAGATGGGGAGGAAGGACTATAGGACTATAGGATCCACGTAAATAATACAAAAAAACATATTTCGAGACCGATTTATGAACACTTCGGTGTCATAACATATATATATTTTTAGCTATAGGATCCTTCAATTTTCTTTTATTGTTATAGGTAGTCATAAACTAGTCATTGTTATATTATTATCGTAGGTGAAAACATATTAAGTTAACCAATTACATATAAAAAAAAAAATAAGGTTATTAATTATTATGATAATTTTAATAAAGTCTATAAATAATAAATAGGTATAAAATAATAATAACGTAGATAAGGATTTAATTACGAAGTTTTTATTTTTCTCGGTGGGGAAAAAATTAAAAAACAAATCCGATAATCCATACATCTCTCAGACATTACAATATATTATTCCAATGACAAAATTGTATTTAATGTAAATGTATTTTTTTAGTATACCAACATGAATTAACTCTTTTTCAGCTAATACCAATACCAAATTGTAACGAAAATAATTGTTTATATGTAAAACCTAATCATAAGTATTTAGCTATAAGTAAATCCAAAGAATTGTATTCCACCTATGACGAAATCGATAGAAGTCAATGTAAACATGCCAGTGATTTCCTTATGTGTCCTGAAATATATCCTTTACATCCTAGAAGTGTACGCCCCATATGCGAGGTGCTTCTACTACAAGATCCAAAGGAAGTTCCGGAGAGTTGCGAGATAATGCATGTACAGTTACAGACAAATTTATTTCACAAATTAAAATTCAAAAATGACTGGATTTATGCTACTCCAGGTGAAACCATATTTATAACATGCGATCATGACAAAAGAAGCATGAACCACTTCTTAGAGGGAGTAGGAATATTGTCACTTAACGAAACATGTAAAGCATACGCGACACCGAGTATGTCGACTTCATACCAAATTCCAGAATGAGGGAACCCGCAGGAACATATGCGGGCTTGACCAACAACATTTTAAAAAATAAACACGTACGAACAAATCAAATGTTCGACTTAAATTTAGTTGCAAAATCTACATCGGAAATAAAAGAAGTAATATCACAGAACGACGAAACGGAAGAAATCAAATACAGCAAAAACAAACATGACTATTTACTATATGTAGTTAGTGCAATAACAGTCGTCTGTCTAATTCTATTCATGACAAGTTGGGTGGAAAAACTACCTTGGTGCGCTGACTTGCGCACTGCACAGCGAGAACAAGCAAACGATCGCAGACAAGAGACAGAGTTTGTACAACTTCCGATTTCCGAGCAACCCGAAGTAACTGAAGGCCAAAAACCAACCCTCAGTTCCGGACACACACCGAGAGACGTAATCAAGCAGGAAGCCCTAATACCACGGAGCACGGCATATTCCGTGTATCCAACCATTTCATCTTTATGATACGGAGTATCATTCTTACAAGGGAGGAATGTAGTAAACCGACGTTTTTACACAAAAACGGCGTTCCAAAGGTTAGGTGGCCTGAACAACATCACGCCACCAAAATAGGCCACTGAGGCTGCCGCCTCATTGGTTAATACTGATCAACTACACATCACGCTATTCCTATGACGTCAATCATCCTTTCCTAAATCCCGGGCATGTCTCATATAAATAGGGGCCCTGTTTCACAGACTTTTCAGACATAGAAGTAATTACCAGTGCTTTACAATACTTGTGTGGGTCGCGGACTAGAAACAGCCGCATTGCCGTCCACATCAAGTATAATTTCAATTACAACTATTCTCCGGTAGAATTATTATTCTGTCGACAAATTTTAACTAACTTAAAATTAACTATATTATTAGTTTCGTGTTAATAAACATTATATCTATAATTAACTACATTTTGTGTTAAACATTCTTACTTTACCTTCACTTCAACCACCATCCTCCGATTCATTGCGACGACGTGTACGTGCATTCGTCGTTAAAGAAGTGTGCAGTAACCAATCAAGTGAGAGCGACGGGTTACTACACTAGGTACGCTATGAGACACGTCTCTCCGTTCGTAATTACCTCAGTCTTCAATATTTATTATCGACGTTGCCGTCGCATTGTCACGCTATCGTGATAGGTACGTCGTACTTGTTTCTTAATATTTATTGTTTTATATTGTAATAAAAATATATACAAATTATTTGTCCTCATGGACCTGATGATTTAATTAATGTCATTTTTAACTATGGAATTATTAACTACCTACCTACTCATACGAAAAAAAGTGTACATTTGGATTTGTTATTATATTAAATTATAATTTTAAGGAAGTTGTAACGTTTTTAATTTTTTTAATATAATATTTCAGTTCGTTTTTAGTTTTTGAACATTTATTTCTGACCATATAGATAAAATAAAAATGGGGGGGGGGGGGGGTAGAGTCTAGGCATATTAGTGCCATTCTTTTCAGTATCTCTCCAACCAAATACCTCACGCCTCGCTACTGCCCGTAACCGTAATAAACACTAAAATAATTTATAATACCAATACGTAAAATGGTTCTTAAAAATAGTTTTCAGAAATACTTGGTTTGTACTTTGCCTTTTGTTATAAAATAATATAAGATTTATACCATAACACGTCCAATGGTGGGGGGGTCTTAAGCCTCCTTAGCCAATTTCTCTAGGTACACCACTGCTTAGATACATAGTAACATATAATATACATAAATTATAAACGCTTTATAATTTAAATATTAATTATAGCGAAAAACAATAATTTAAGCAATAACCAATATCATAGTCCATAAAACATTAACTATACAGTCATTATTTACTTACCACCACAATTAGAGCAACCTTTTAGAACTATATAAGCAAAACAAGTAATAGAATATAAATAAAATATATAATACTAATGTCTAACTGTCCCACGTTACAAGTGCCTGTCTATCACATATTTCTACTTATTGTAATAGTAGCTGGTAATCCAATATATGTAATAAATGGAAACCATTTAAATAAACTAATAAATATGCGCTACCTACTTAGCCTACATATAGGGATTAAAATAATAAGCTAGTTATCTCAGTTAACGGGAAAATCAACATCGGAGTTCTTCGCTTTGTGAACTAATTTAACCAACAAGGACAATTCATGTGTCAAATTGGATGAATATATTATAAAAGCACTTGATATAAATCGAAGGTGGTTATGGTTAGAAATTCATAAAAGTTTTTTTTCTTAGGTAAGATAAGACATTTTAATAAAAGATTCCCAACAAAATTTTCTACTTATAAGTTATAACAAAACAATTATAATAACCATATTATAAGTTTAGGGTTAAGTAACAATATTTTTTTATGGGAGTTATAATACATGATTTTTAGGATATTGTGCACTATACAGTCAACCACCTACCCACCCACTAGCTATAAAAGTCATGGAGTATTTACCTCAGTAGCCATACGTGTTCGGCGCCACTGAGCTAGGCCTAGGCTAACGCACCGTGCACCGTCTCCGCTCAGAATCGTTTTTAGTATCCAATGATTTATCATTGAATTCAAATATAACACACCCATTACAATGACGTACTCGACAACTAGTGTACAGCAGAGCGGTAGCCGCACTTGTCCACCTTTTTATTTATCTGAGTCCATAAGAAAATTATTATATTTTCATTTCATATCATCAATATCGAATATAATACATTTATGACTTATTATCTATTTTATTTATATATTTTTTTAGCTGACACGGCAATGCGTTGCTATTGCTAGGTTTTGTGATTATGCGGGCAGTATATTATCAGGTAGGCAATTTACGCGTGGTAGATCGCCGACCCCGCTTGGTGCATACACAAGTGTATAATTTAAATCTAAAGAATCAAAAAATGAAAAATTTGGTCCATCGAAACCCTGGTTTGAACTCTATACATTCTCTATTAAAATGCACAGACTTATCGCATTAATAATGATCATAATTATTATTAATACCAGTAGTAACCATTTACAAACAAACATTTCCATCGTAAAACTCAAAATCCTTTTTTGAGCACCTCCCCTAGATGGACCTCTAATTTACCATTTTTAAATTATCCTATCTTCTTTCCAGAGGTATAATCTATCTCTGTACCAAATTTCATCGCAATCGGATGAACAGTTTAGGAATGCGTAAAGGACACACACACAGACACAGAAACATTAATTTATATATAATACTAGCTAATTCCGTGCACTTCCTTGCCCATTAAAAAAGTAAACTCAATATGAATAATATTTTATAATATAACGGCAACCACCTCCAGGGGGACACCTAGTGTTACGGGTATGGTGAGCCCCCGAGCTATCTTCCTAAGGTATGGGAAGTTGATCGTAACGTAAACAACCCTACATCGGAAAAAAAAAGATGTTAAGAAACCTCAAAATAAGCCTCGGAATCGGATAAGTGGACAACAACCGGAACTGGAAAATGGAATAAAAATGGGTACATAGAATGTTAGGACTTTAAACAGACCGGGAGCGTTACAGTACTTACTGGGAGCTATTAAAAATATAATACAAGCATATTAGCTCTATAAGAAATTATATGCCCAAAACGCTATATTCTATAGCGGAAAAAATGGTGGAAGAGATGAAAATGATGTGGGATTTGTAGGGAATGACAATACGTTACCACAAGTAAAATAATTTAAAGCAGTAAATGACCAATTACGCTATATTCTACTCACAGGTCGCATTTTCGATACAATTATCATAAACGCATATGCACTAACTGAAGAGAAAGAAGAAAATCTTAAGAATGAGTTCTAAGATGGGCTAGAGCACATACTTGACACAATACCGGCAAGCTGTATCAAAATTAATCAACTTTTTTTCTTAATCTAGTTTTTATGTACTGACATTTCTTATTACTGTATCCTTATATTAAACGATTAATACAACAGTAAGTAATGTTAATGGAACCCGGTTGATCAACCTGTGTTTAGCGAAAGGTGTTACCCTTAGTAGTACATACTTCCCAAGGAAAGACATATACAAATAAACTTGGATAGCACCTAATAGAATAACTAAAAACTAGATTGATCACGTAATGATACAGAATAATCATAAAGGATGCATAAAAAGTGTCGGGAGCTATAGAGATGCAGACGCCTACTTGGATCATTAACTTTTAATTACAAAACTTAAAGTTTGATTATCTGAAAGATGGAACAAGGTAAAAAATAAGGAATCCGTAAAATACTGTATAGAAAAACTGTCAGAAATGGAGGTTTTGGAGGAATACATCTGTAACCTAACCTAACAAGAAGAACTACAAAAACCCAACAGAAATGCAGATGAAGATGCTGAACGGATATGGGAAAGAATCAGAACAGCAGTAGTCATGGTGTTAATAATTGTTTAAGAATAATAAAAAAAGAAATAAATGCTTAAATGATAGGTGCAAGGAAGCAATAGACAGGAGAAACCGTGTACGAGAAAAAACTAACAAGGACGAAAGTGACATAAATATAGAAAGATATAAAAACATTAAAAAAGTAACCAATAAAGTACTAAGAAAAAATATTGGAAAAAACGAAAGATTGAGGAAATTGAAGAAAATAGAAATAACCCCAGAAGATTCTTCAGCAAGAGTGCAAGACTATCAGCATTAAATGGGAATATAAACAGCAGAGTAAGATTTTATAGAATAAATTAGGTGAGTTAGTGACAAAAGAAGAATCTGTAGTTGAAGAGTTTAAAAACATTTTGAATGTCTACTAAATAAAACACCACCAACATCAACACACGAAGAAATAGATATTCAATATAGTACTGCGGAACCATATATTGAAACTCCAACAAAACAGGAAACCTATAACATCATATTATCATAAAAAAAAATGAAAAAACAACAAATCACCAGGAGAAAACAACGTAGTAGCGGAATTACTAAAACATGGAGGAGAAACGATTAAAAGTGAAATTTGGAAAATGATTAAGGTAATTTGAGAAACCGAAATAATACCAGGAGAGTGGAACATGGCAATACTATGCATAATATTTAAAAAAGGAGACATCCTAGACCCAAAAAATCACAGGGGAATTTCATTATTGGATAAATGTTATAAGATATTGTCGACGCTCCTTTTGGAATGAATAACGCCGTACGCAAAGGGCATCATAGGAAGATACCAATGGGGCTTTATAAAGGGGAAATCCACTGTCGACTACATATTTACATTAAGACAAACTATGGAGAAATACTATGAGTACGAAAATGACCTATTTATGATATCTGTTAACTACAAACAAGCTTATGATAGTGTGAATAGACAGGAATAAATTATGGAAAGCAATAATACAGATGGGAATCCCACAAAAATTTGTGAATTTGGTAAAAATGTATAGTGACAAGACGTTACTGAAAGTACCTTTCCTACAGAGATTATCGCCAGCCTAGGTTAATTCAGAATTGCTACAGGGAGATGATCTAGCCCCAATATTAAGTTCTTTTAGGGATACGCGAAAAGAATTTACCTACTTACTTTCGAAACTAATAGAAGCCAACAAAAACATGGGTTTATGTATCAACGAAGAAAAGACTAAACTTGTATACTTATGTAACAACATGCATATGCATAGGGAAATAAAAGAAAGAATATCGAATGAAAATAGGTGTTACTTTAGCATGAACAAGTTATTGAGATCAATAAACTCCTATCAAGAAAGTCAAAAATTACTTTGTACCCAAGCTACCTTAGGCCAGTAGTAACCTACGGCTGTGAGACTTGGTCCACGACAAATGACGACAAGAAAACTTTCTATATGGGAAAGAAAATTACTAAGAAATATATGTAGACAGGTGTACAATGACAACTCAGGAATTTATGAAAAGAGACATAATGAAGAGCTGTATGACCTACCTTTATTAAAAACCAATTAATAATTAATATACTCACATATATAAGATGTAAACGTCTAGAGTGGCTGGGACATGTGTGGAGAGCTGAAGGAGATTTATTAAAGAATGTTCTGATAAGAAAAATAAATAAAAAAACGTCCACTTGGAAGACAAGAATAAGATAGAAAGACACTGTAGAAAACGATATGAAACTGATAGATGAGAATGCAATGTTAGACTGGACTTTGGACCGAAAAAAATGAAAAGGTTTACCAGTGGCAGCGCTAATGAACCGTTAAGGTGTTGAAGAAGAAGAAGAAAATAACGGCAACCATGGCAACCATTTATAAATAAAAATGTTGGTCCCTTTTCAAATTATCTTCTGACCAGAGGTCTAATCTATCTATGTATATAAAAATAGCTGATCCCTTGCAATACGTTGCCTATTAAAAATGCCAACTCTATATTAATAATATGTTTTCATAATATTATAGGTATTATGGTACACACAGACAGATAGACATACATTCATTTTTATATATATAGATTACATAGATTATAGATTATTGTTAATATTCTAGAATATACTAATTCATATTTCAGTGTCAGTCAGTTCTCCGTATCGTTTGAATTCGTTTATATTCGTTTATTACTTGATCGTGTACCTATTATTTGTTTTTCTGTTTCGTTTTATTTGTTGTTTTTTAAGTAATGCCATAGCGAATATTATAAGGATTTTTGGTCATATTATAGCGCATATTTCAGTACTTGTCAGTGCTATAAAATCTGAACCCCGATCATCACAATACATTTTTAATTATGTGATTATTGAGCATTTTAATTAATTATGTTATCATTTGAACAGTGTACATTATTATATATTCAAATACGCAATACTCAAAATAAATAATGTATACCAACTTAAGACGCTCTGAACAAGGAGTGTAGGTTTATAATCATGAAATGGGGGGGATACTCCTAAGTACTGGTAAACGGTCACTTTGTACGGTCCATTGTTCTAAATGTACAACGCGGACACTTTGTACGGTCGGGTAAAAAGGTACATTGCAGAACGCGGACACTTTGTACTATTATATACATAAAGTATATATATATTATAAATATAAGTTATATATCTAGGTTAGCAAGTAAATAATACTATATATTATATATGACAAATTTTACTAAAAATGTTATAAATACATTTTATATAATCTAGGGAATCTCATGGGTACATCGATAATGGTGCATTTTGCAATGTTATAAATGCATTTCACTAAGACACTGTCATATTATACATGTAGGTTTTAAAGATTTTTTTAAATATTAAAGAATGGAAATTTGATATTTTATAGATCGTTCATTTTGACGAATTATTCTAAAATTGATTTATTAAACCTTTAATATTAAATAATTATGTATGTGCACTTTTTATCTAAGCTTGATACCATTTTGCCATATTTTCATATTATTATACTATACAATATTATGTAGTTTTTTAAAATTTTTGTCAATATTATACTTTACTTGTCATTTTGAGATATTTCCATATTATAGGTACTATGCATGTAGTTTTTAATGATTTTTTTTCATTATTATATTTTATTTATCATTATGACATATTTATATTGTACACATTTTTAATTTGCTTTAAAACTGATATCTAATATTATAATACAATTAAGATTTATAATAATATTATTGATTGTTTGATTATTAAATTATTTTGATCATCATTAATATACGATAAACAATTTACTTTTTATTTTTAATTTTTATATTTTAATAATTTACATTATAATTTATTATATTATTATATACTTACTACTTAGGTATATAACTTATATTTATAATATATATACTTTATGTATATAATAGTACAAAGTGTCCGCGTTCTGCAATGTACCTTTTTACCCGACCGTACAAAGTGACCTAGAACCCTAAGTACTACCTATACAAACCACATTAAAACCAAAACTAATCGACGAACAAAATTAAGTTTTACGACAGCGTCGTGTATAACATGCAACTGGACCGTTGCATATATTATTATAATATTGAGTATCCGAAATAAAGAACTGAACATAAATTTAAGAAAGCTCTGTAATAGACAAACTATAAAATCATTATTCACTACTTGAAGGTAGACTGACTATACTGGTGAAAACCCATAAACATATGAATAGATATTAATAATAATAATAGTAATAATAATAATAATAATAATAATAATACCAACAGTGGCATGAACCTTAGATACAGCTATAAATAATGAATGCATACTTACGGTATTCCTCTATTCGAACTCTCCAACCATCCTGATTGTAACTCTGGTTGTCTAAATTATAATAATTAGGTTATTGTAAAATTTCCTGATTTCAACCCGTTGCAAGGAATGCTATGATTTGCCAATATGATGAAAATGTATGTATGATAGTTACATAATATTATATGTCTATGTGTCTATTATTACTATTTACTTTAGAAGGTAAACTATATTGGTAAAAGAAATATTAAGAAAAGAGATGCCAAATCACTCATCCATTTTTTTGGGTCCCGTTACTTAAATTGGGCTAATAAAAGTTATTGGGTATCCGATAAATTTATGATGTGTTCCTAGCATTATACTGAAATCGTGGATTTTTTATTTAACCAATGTACCATTTTAGATTCTGAGTGAAACGACGAATGTATTGATTTTACAATGATGTGTGTTTTTTTTTTTTATTTTTGTGTCTGTGTACACGATAAGTAGTCCAAATAATGCTTCGATTTTCGACTTCAGTATCTTGTTCGATTGGAAAGTGAATATCGTTGGTGCATTGGGGAGGTTAAAGTTTAAAATTCCCAATAGTTTTCACAAGCGCCGGGAAAAAACAACATAAAAATTAAGGAAAAACGGGAATTTTTACGCAAAATCGGTTTTTGACGAAATCGAATTTGGTTTTTGGTGTAACTTTAAAACAAATGACCGTAAATACATGACATTTTCACTGGTTGTTTATATTTGCATTTTCTATACACGATAACATTTTCAAAATATTTTGATTTATTTTGAACTGTTTAGGGACATTTTCATTTTTCATTTTTTTTTAGTTTTTTTTCTAGAAATATCAATACAATTTTATTTGTTGGTTAAAAAAACTTAAAAATTTAATAGAAGACTCCTAGTATATTGTTTCAAAGGCAGATGAAAAATATTAAAAATTGTTAGTCACAGTTTTTTTTTATAAGCATTTAAGTTCAAAAATTGACAAAATATGGAAAAATCAAGAAAATTAGCAAATTATTTTGGGTTAAGAATTCGCAAAAATTTTTTTTTTTAAATCTAAGATTTGAAAATGTAATACAAGATTACTCATAAGTTTGTCTACCTTTATCAATAAAAAAATCTCTACCGGACAGTCAAATTAAATTTTTATGAGCGTTTGAAATTCAAATTTTTACAACATTGGATGTTCACTCGATTTCTCATGTAGCGATTTCCTTATTTTGTTGTTATTCATAAACGAATAACTATAGATACATAGAAATTTCACTGAATGTTTATATTAGCATTTCCTATACACCATACAATTTTGAAAATATTTTGACTCTTTTTGAGCTATTTACGGATATTTTCATTTTTCAATTTTTTTATTTTTTTTTTCTATGAATATCAATAAAGTTTTATCTGTTGGGCCAAAAAGTGTAAAAATTTAATACAAGGCTCCTGATATATTGTTACAATATCAGTTGAAAAATATTAAAAATACATAGGCACAGTTTTTTTTTATAAGCATTTAAACATCGAATTTTGACAGAATTTTTTTAAATCTCGAAAATTATTAATCATCGTAATTAATAAATTATAAAATGTTCAGTTTTTATAGCTAAGGATTGAAAATTTAAAACGAGATTCCACGTAAGTAGTTAATTCTCTTACCAAAAAATCTAAAAAATATACAATCACAGTTTATTTTTATAGTCATTTTATGTTCAAATTTGGACGAAATTACATATTAAAAAACCTAGTTATTTTGTTGTGATTATATAATATTATTCGTGGGTACCTACTTGAAACTTCTAAAGTGTACTATTATATATCAATGATAGTATCAGGGTTTGTTATTGATGTTGATGTATAACGTGTTATAAGTACCTAATGGATATTATGATAATGTGATATGATTAATTTGGAATTTATTATAGGTCAATTTTTTTTTTAATACCATAGATATGTATATAATTTGTCTTAAACCTAGACTGACATACCGTCTTCGCTCAGAATCGTTTTTCTTATACAATGATATTGTATCATTGAATTCAAATTTAATACCATCCATTATACAGTGACCCACTTGTAACCTACAGTACAGCAGAGCGACATCCACTTACCCACCTTTTTATATTTAGGTACACAAAATATGTAGAATATTATAAGATTATTAAGTATATTAAACAGTGAATGACATACCGGAGGGTGGTAAACTATTTCGATTGTATGGTAAGCTCCCCAGGTCAACACAATGTTTACCTGATGTCCTGATGGAAATGTGTAAGCTATCACGAGTTGTTTTAAAATTATATCGCAAAAAATTATAAACTATAGAGACCAAAACATAGCGCCTTAGGTTTACTCAATTCTGTATGTTCATATATAACTATACAAATTTAATTTAATTTGAAATTTATTTAAATTATTATTTTTATTTTAAATTATATGTCCATATTATTATAAACATTATTATAATGACATAACTACTTGTTATAGTTATTACAGACCCGGGAGAGTTTACATGTGCCCATATAATAGTAATGGAGTACAGTAGTAGACCAGAGAGAGTTTACAATCGCAATGACATGCTATTGAAAATAATTTTGCTATTCAATATTCATTATTCAAAGATCTAAATTAAATACTCACTTCTGTAATAAATAAATTTTTCATCCTGCATCGCCACTGTAATGATGATATTATGTTTCAAAAAAAATCGAATATTTACAAAATGTTTTAAATTATCAACTGGTATAGGTAGATATTATAAATAGGTTATGTACTTAATGTTTATACAACTATTAAATTAATTGAATGTAAAAGTTGAATTATTATTTAGTAATAGATACTTTACCTACGCTAAAGACATACAGTAATTATTTCATATAGGTATTTCACTATTCAGTTACAATATTAATTTACTTACACAAGTTTATTTTAACGAAAAATAAATGTATTATTTAACCATAATACCGTATATTTAAATTGTTAACATATTCACTCAAGTGCAATTAAAATTGTGTTCAAATTTAAAGCGATAAGCTGAAACTATTTAACTGCAATATTTAGGTAGAAATTTATTTCTAAATCGTATATTAATTGTATTACAAACTAAACGAATTATTGAATTCAGGAATCGAAACAATACTTTTTTAAAACGCTTTTAGCTTTACAAAAATAATCAAAGGTTGGGTATTAACTTGTTAGTTAATTTTCAAATCAACTTACGAACTTAACTAGTTTAATTGGCAGTTTAAATAACTTGGCTTTTCACAGTTGATTTAAAAATAACCCATCAAGTTAAAAAATGTTTAAGGTGTTTTGTTTTTATTTTTTTATATTTAAATATTAATATTAAAGGAGCACGCACAACACAAAAAATAAATTTTTTTTATTTGAAAGAATTTTCAATTCTAAAAATAATGGTTAGGTTTTACGTTTTTACTCACATTATTCAATAATTTATGAGTAATTGAAAAAAACTAGTGACGTCATTGGACCCTACTCATCTTAATTGCCTATCTCATAAGTGTAAAAGTTCCTTGCTTCACACAACGATTTACCAACCTAAACATTTTATTTTTGAAATTTAATTTACGTGTAAATTGTAAATGTGTGGTTTTATGTGTTTAAGACGATACAAATATCAGAATTTCAATATGACGTTTAGTTTTTTTAAATATTAAAAATCTTAAAAGAGACATTGGGTCTAAATGGCCCTGAAAAAGCCTAACAAAAAAAAAAAAAAAATAGAAAAATTTTCGTCATGGCGAGCGGCGGTCGAACAACCGACCGGGTCCGCCGATACTATCTCATCAAATAATTTTACACAATACACTGCACAGACACATATTGTTGAACAATTGGATCGAAACAAAAAGAAACCTAGTATGTCGATGCCCTCCAAAAGCGTAATCCAGACCAACTATAATATAATATAGGCATATAGCAGAACCTATTATTCTTCTAGATATTGAAAATGTAAACGAAAATAAAAAATTTGAAATTGGTATTCAATGTGAATTGGGTTATAAGACTAAAAAAAAACAATGACGACTGAAACTTGTATGATCTTAATAGATGTTTACGCGTACCATATATGATATAGACATATAAATTGTTATTTTACACCTGCAGTTAATTTTGTCTGGTACAAAAAACAATACCAACTATTAGAAAATATAGAATTCTAGTGATGTGACTTGGCGATCAAATTAGAGATTTTCAAATGATGATATTTAAAATTTTTTAATTTTCGTGAGCTATCTTACGTATCTTATTAAAAAATACTAATTTGTGTTTTTTTCATTTGTATTATTTAATTTTATTAAATAGCACCTTTATTTATTTGCATTTATAATTTGTTTATTGCTTAATTATTTTAATACTTTTATTAGTGAATTCTGTATAGGATATAGTATTATTATGACGTATTATTGAATTATATTTATATATTAGTTTAATCATTTGTACATTTATTGATTTGCATTGTATATTATTGTTTATATTTTTACTTTAAATTATTTGTCCGGAGGTAAATTGTCCCGTTCGGGTGGTAAACGTCCAATGACCAAGGAGAAGGCACGGTGGGGAGTAGAATTTGTAAAATTCTATTCCTAGGTATACATATCATGTTCGAAAAAAAAATGTACAACCAATAATTTTAACTATTCACGATTCCAATCAAATTTATTAAATCAAATTTATTTATTTTTCATATTTAATCAAATTAATTTATTTTTCATATTTGCATAGGTACAATTAAAATAACTATCCAGCTTACTTTTATATAAATGATAATTATAAAGTAGAAAAGTGATCACATTATAAATAAAGCAGTACTCACTGACCACTGTATAATGGATATGTTTATGTATGTTGTAAAGTAAAATATTATAATACTTACCAATACAGTCTAATGCCCTATCCCCTTAATCCAAAATAATTTAGTTAGTAAAACATATCTTATATATCAAAAATGATACCTCCGGTTGTAAAAAGGTCATCATCTTCAAAGACAATTTAAAATGTATTGGGTAACCGTATACCTAACATATTTCAATTTGTGTTCAGCATAATCAATTTTGCGATGTTAATTAATTGTATTACTAAATTGATACACTTATACATAATCTAATATAAATATATTATATAATAATATTAGCTAGCTTATACAACTTATACGCTTTTATGGATATTTAAATATTAATGTGAGTTATGTATGACTTTATGAGCATTTTAATATTGTAATAGCTTAATTTTAACTCGCTCAAAAATTAAAATACCAATGTAATCCTTTCGAGATACTTATAGTCACCTAGGTAATGATCTGAACTCAAAGTTTGATATACCAATTAAATGTTAATTATAACAATAAATGAATATTAATATATTAATTTAATTAATAAATACATTTATTACTGTGCAATTTATACCTATGATTATCCATTAATATTAATCTGTGCCGTATCATGTAAAGTAAAAAAATATATAAAGTAGGTACCTACTTACCACTAACGTATATTTTATAAGCAATAATATTTAACATAAAAAATATAGAAAACATATTAATATGTTTGACCATGTTGGTAGGAACAATTAATGATTAATTTTCAAAGCGTTGAATAAAAGAATAATATAAAATATTTTCTAGCTTTGATTTTTATAAGGTTATTAAGTAAACAAAACTTGACGACAATGCAATTGAGTAAACGCATCTAGAAAATATTATGTACTTCACGATAAAAAAAATGTGTAGTACAGACTTCGGATGGGCACATAAACAGTTATTGCTATTGGTTCTTCTGGCTGACCAGGTGCAAAATCATGGTGGTAACCTTCTAGTGCCTACGGAATTATATTGTAAAGTAATTTATTTTATTTCTAACAATGTAAATATTTCTACAAGTATATACAACCCGCAGGAAATATCAATGTGTTTCCTGTGGCCAATAATAATTTTAAAAAAAGGTGCTCTGCTGTACAGTAGGTTACAAGTGGGTCACTGTATAATGGATGGTATTAAATTTGAATTCAAGGTTATAATATCATTGTATAAGAAAAACGATTCTGAGCGGAGACGATATGTCAGTCTAGGTATAAGACATATTATATACTTATCTATATGGTCTTAAAAAAAATTGACCTATAATAGGTAGATATAATAAATTCCAAATTAATCATATCACAATATCCATTAGGTACTTATAACGCGTTATACATCAATAACAAACCCTGGTACTATCATAGATATATAATAGTACACTTTAGAAGTTTCAAGTACCCGCGAATAATATTATACAAACACAACAAAATAACTAAAATAGTTATTCTAGGTTTTTTATTATGTAATTTCATCCATATTTGAACTTAAAATGACTATAAAAATAAACTGTGCTTATGTTTTTATTAGATTCTTCGGTAACAGAATTAACTACTTATGTGGAATCTTGTTTTAAATTTTCAATCCCTAGATATAAAAGTTGAACATTTTATAAATTATTAACTACAAAATAATAATTAAATTTTAAATTAGATAAATTTTATCAAAATTCGATATCTAAATGTTATAAAAAAAAATTGTGCCTACGTGTTTTTAATATTTTTCAACTGATATTGTAACAATATATCAGGAGCCTTGAATTAAATTTTTACACTTTTTGGCCCTACAGGATAAAAACTTATATTTTAAAAAACTTAATATTTTTTTTAAAAAAAACTAAAAAATTGAAAACTGAAAATGTCCGTAAACAGCTCAAAAAGAGTGAAAATATTTTCAAAATTGAAAGGTGTATAGGAAATGCTAATATAAATATTCAGTGAATTTTTCGTGTATCTACGGTCATTTGTTTTAGAGTTACATCAAAAACCAAAATCGATTTTCTCGAAAACAGATTTTGAGTAAAAATTCCCGTTTTTCCTTAATTTTTTTTTGTATTACTTGTAGCTTTTGAAAATTACTTGTAATTTTAAATTTTGACCTCCCCAATGCACCAAAGATATTCCCTTTCCAATCGTACAAGATAAGTACTGAAGTTGAAAATCGAAGCATTATTTCGACTACCCATCGTGTACACAGACACAAAAATAAAAAAAAAAACACACATCATTAAAAAGTCAATACATTCATCGTTTCACTATCAGAATCTAAAATAGAAAGACTGTAATAATATGTGTATATGTGCATTGGTAGCAGGGCGGCGTGGAATGCGCTGTTATAAGCTTATATGTCTATAATAATTGTATTATTGGATATTTGCGAGAGAAGTTTAAGCAAATTAAAACTTATAAAAAATTATTTCCGTTCCACCGTGGGTCAAGAACGTTCATTGAATTTAGTCATACTTTCCTTTGAACAAAAAATTGCATCTTAGATGGACTACACTTATATCATCGAAAAATTCGCTTCCAAAAGAGCCAGAAAAGTTAAATTTGTTTAATAAATATGTTGTACTGAATTCTATTTAATTTGAAGTATTATGAATTGTATTATTTTATTTAAATATTTTATACAATTCTTGTTTATGTGGTATAGTTTTTAAGAATTTGTTATGAGTCATACCAAAGAAGGTAGTACAAATCAATTAACTTCGTTATTTTTATATTTATCTTAAGCTTTTAAGTAAACATTGATTACGCTTATATGTAAATAAGTTAACATTTATTTTTTTTTTATTTCGTGGGAGAAGTGGTTGGGCGCCAATTTGTATTTTGCCAGGAGCGCCGCTATTGATCAGCCCGGCTCTGGTTAAAATGTAACTCCCTTATGGGACTGTAAAATATTGTCCATCCAATTGAAAAACAAAAATAAGTTGGTAAATACTTCAGAGTAAAATTTTTTACTTTTTAGGTACACTCGTTTACATTTTAGATTCTGAGCGGAACGATGAATGTATTGATTTTGATTTTACAATGATGTGTTTTTTTTTAGTTTTCTTTAAATTTTTAAATTATATTTATTTTTGTGCTGTTATCACCTTTTAGGACAGTAAAAATGCTTATACTTTCTTCAGCAGTATCTTTTATGATAGGAAAGTGAATCTAGTTGCTACTTTGGGAGAGAGGGGGTCAAAAGTGAAAATTTCCCAGTAGTTTTCAAAAGCGTAGTGAAAAACAAAAGAAAAATTAAGGAAAAATGAGAACTTTTACACAAAATCTGTTTTCGAGAAAATTGATTTTGGTTTTTGGTGCAACTCTTAAACAAATGATCGTAGGTACATGACATTTTGACTGAATGTTTATAATAGCATTTTCTATACACCATAACATTTTCCGAATATTTTGAGCTGTTTACGGACATTTTCAGTTTCCATTTTTTTTAGTTTTTATTCCTATAAAATAAATATCAATAAAATTTTATTTGTTGGGTAAAAAAGCGTGAACATACATAAGTAATGCAAGGCTCCTGATATATTGTTACAATAGCAGTTGAAAAATATTAAAAATACATAGGCACAATTTTTTATAAGGTTTTAAAGTTCAAATTTCAACAAAATTTAGGTAATTATTTTGTAGTTTAAAATGTATAAAATGTAAAATGTTCAACTTTTATAGCTAAGAATAGAAAATTTAAAACAATAGGTTCCACGTAAATAGGTTATAAATTACTGTTAGTTTTAGATTCTGAGTGAAACGATGAATTTATTGATTTTACAATGATGTGTGTTTTTTTTTTTATTTTTGTGTCTGTGTACACGATAAGTAGTCGAAATAATGCTTCGATTTTCGACTTCAGTATCTTGTTCGATTGGAAAGTGAATATCGTTGGTGTAATGGGGAGTTCAAAATTTAAAATTCCCAATAGTTTTCACAAGCGCCAGGAAAAACAACATAAAAGTTAAGGAAAAACGGGAATTTTTACGCAAAATCGGTTTTTGACAAAATCGAATTTGGTTTTTGGTGTAACTTTTAAACAAATGGCCGTAGATACATGAAATTTTCACTGGTTGTTTATATTTGCATTTTCTATACACGATAACATTTTAAAATATTTTGATTTATTTTGAACTGTTTAGGGACATTTTCATTTTTCATTTTTTTTTAGTTTTTTTTCTAGAAATATCAATAAAGTTTTATCTGTTGGGCCAAAAAGTGTAAAAATGTAATACATGGCTCCTGATATATTGTTACAATATCAGTTGAAGAATATTAAAAATACATAGGCACAGTTTTTTTTTATAAGCAAAAATTCTGTCAAAATTCGATGTTTAATTTTGACAGAATTTTTCAAAATCTCGAAAATTATTAATCATCGTAATTATAAATTATAAAATGTTCAGTTTTTATAGCTAAGGATTGAAAATTTAAAACAAGATTCCACGTAAGTAGTTAATTCTCTTACCAAAAAATCTAAAAAATATACAATCACAGTTTATTTTTATAGTCATTTTATGTTCAAATTTGGACGAAATTACATATTAAAAAACCTAGTTATTTTGTTGTGATTATATAATATTATTCGTGGGTACCTACTTGAAACTTCTAAAGTGTACTATTATATATCTATGATAGTATAAGGGTTTGTTATTGATGTTGATGTATAACGTGTTATAAGTACCTAATGGATATTGTGATAATGTGATATGATTAATTTGGAATTTATTATAGGTCAATTTTTTTTTAATACCATAGATATATATATAATTTGTCTTAAACCTAGACTGACATACCGTCTTCACTCAGAATCGTTTTTCTTATACAATGATATATTGTATCATTGAATTCAAATTTAATAGCATCCATTATACAGTGACCCACTTGTAACCTACAGTACAGCAGAGCGACATCCACTTACCCACCTTTTTTTTTTGTTTATGTGGATATTCATATTCCATGTAAGGTTTTAATCGAGAAAGACACCAAGGTACTTATTTGAACAAGTTGTCTTATATTTTTCTTTTGTAGTTTGAACCACATGTTACAACATTTGTATCTAGAAGTATTATAGTGTACACCTGCATAATACCTACATAAACATAATATGCTTCGATAAATAACGTTAACGATTAAAGTTTTTTGCAATACAGGATAATAACTTAATTGATATTTTTAAAAAAAAAAAACAAAAAAAATTGAAAACTGAAAATGTCCGTAAACAGCTCAAAAGAGTCAAAATATTTAGACCTACTTTATTTTTGAGTTTAACATTATAATATTTTATTATTAATATATGATTTAAATAGATCGACGGGATCAGCTAGTTTTATTTAAATATTTTATACAATTCTTGTTTATGTGGTATAGTTCTTAAGAATTTGTTATGAGTCATACCAAAGTAGGTAGTACAAATCAATTAAATTCGTTATTTTTATATTTATCTTAAGCTTTTAAGTAAACATTGATTATGTAAATAAGTTAACATTTAATTTTTTTTTATTTGGTGGGAGAAGTGGTTGGGCGCCAATTTGTATTTTGCCAGGAGCACCGCTATTGATCAGCCCGGCTCTGGTTAAAATGTAACTCCCTTATGGGACTGTAAAATATTGTCCATCCAATTGAACAGCAAAAATAAGTTGGTAAATACTTCAGAGTAAAATTTTTTACTTTTTAGGTACACTCGTTTACATTTTAGATTCTGAGCGGAACGATGAATGTATCGATTTTACAATGATGTGTTTTTTTTTAGTTTTCTTTAAATTTTTAAATTATATTTATTTTTGTGCTGTTATCACCTTTTAGGACAGTAAAAATGCTTAGACTTTCTTCAACAGTATCTTTTATGATAGGAAAGTGAATCTAGTTGCTACTTTGGGAGAGAGGGGATCAAGAGTGAAAATTTCCCAGTAGTTTTCAAAAGCGCCGTGAAAAACAAAAGAAAAAAGGTGGGTAAGTGGATGTCGCTCTGCTGTACTGTAGGTTACAAGTGGGTCACTGTATGATGGATGGTATTAAATTTGAATTCAATGATATAATATCATTGTATAAGAAGAACGATTCTGAGCGGAGGCGGTATGTCAGTCTAGGTATAAACTATAAGACATATTATATACTTATTTATGGTATTAAATTATATGGAATTTATGAATAAATTATTCATTGCCCCTTAAAATATGCACAGTCTTATCATTGAGCATACTTCTTATTCCTTATACTATGGTAGATTGTATGGATAGGCCATAATGTGTTGATTTTTCAGTTTCATATATCCCCGAATAATATTTTTAAATTACAACAAAAAACCAAGATCGTTAATATTGATTTTAATATGTAATTTCGTCCAAATTTGAATTTAAAATGTCTGTAAAAAATGACTGTGTTCATATATTGCTTAGATTTTTTGGTTACAGTATGAATTATTTAAGAGAATCTTTGATTTAAATTTTCAACTCTTAGTTATAAAAACTGAACATTTTATAATTTTTTAATTCCAACGATTGATAATTTTCGAGATTTTGATAAATTTTGTCAAAATTCCAACTTTAAATGCTTATAAAAAAAAATCGTGCCAATGTATTTTTAATATTTTTCAACTGATATTGTAACAATATATCAGTAGCCTTGTATTACATTTTTACACTTTTTGGCCAAACAGATAAAACTTTATTGATATTTATAGAAAAAAAAACTAAAAAAAATTGAAAGCTGTAAATGTCCATAAACAGCTCAAAAAGAGTCAAAATATTTTCAAAATTGTATGGTGTATAGGAAATGCTAATATAAACATTCAGTGAAATTTTCATGTATCTACAGTTATTCGTTTTTGAATTACAACAAAATAAGGAAATCGCCACATGAGAAATCGAGTGAATATTCAATGTTGTAAAAATTAGCATTAAGAATTTTTTAACAATGCTCGTTACTACAGGATATTTGCGAGAGAAGTTTTAGCAAATTAAAACTTATAAAAAATTATTTCCGTTCCACCGTGGGTCAAGAACGTTCATCGAATTTAGTCATACTTTCCTTTGAACAAAAAATTGCATCTTAGATGGACTACACTTCAATCATCGAAATATTTACTTCCAAAAGAGCCAGAAAAGTTAAATTTGTTTAATAAATATGTTGTACTGAATTCTATTTAATTTGAAGTATTATTTGTATTAACTATATATATAAAAATGGAGACAAAAAATTCGAAATTGCATCAGTTGAGAACGGCTTGGCCGATTTTGCTCAATTTTTTTTTAAGATGTTCGTGATTGCCAGGTGAAGGTTTTTACGAAAGAAAATTTTTAAAAAGTCAACCGAATAATTAGAAAAACTGCAAAAACTATTTATTGATGTCTGGGGTTTGAACTCGATACCGTTGTCTTTATTTACTCTATGGTGTATTATATTATATTGGTTGCTATTGGTTAATCGGGCATGTTTGTTGATTTGTATTATTATTTTTTGTAAATGTTTCTTATATATAAATGAATGACCTATGGGAAGAAGATACGCTAATTTAAAAAGGGAAAAATTTGGTTTTTTTTATTCATCGGATTTTAGTACGGTTAGGTTAGGTTAGGATTTATAGGTAGGTGGAATTAAGTAAAAACGTCAAACTTGGTATAACTTTGGTACTTATTGAGTTAAATCATACACTTACGTACAAACAGCACGGGGTCCGCGATCTACCGCAGGTAAATTACCTATCTGATAATGTACTGCTGCAATTCAGAATTATTATTCCGGGCAACAGAAAAGTCAGTACGTGTGTCACAGCCGACCGATACACACGTGTGTTACCGTCAGTCGCTTATCGCATTTTTAGCTTCCGATAGCAACTACGAGAACTTCACCGCAATTAAGAAGGTATGCTCTTTAATTACGGCCCCCCCTTAACCAATTAGACATAGCACTCACGCGATCATCCGACATGTCGGACGACCCTGATATCAACCCACCTCTTTCCAAACTAAAATCACCTCAACTAAACACGCAAAAAACTTTCGCCGAAACAACCGCAAACGTCTCCTTCCCGAAAAAAGACCAAGCTATAATTTTCAACACAATCCAAGATGTACCACAGATAGAATACATTAAAGCTTTCAGCTCACTTACGCCACCAAACAATATAAAATTCGCATCTCGAGTGTCGAACAATAGGTTCTGTATATACTTCGCAAACAAAAACATCGTCGAGCAAATCATAGCAAAACAACATTACATAACAATAAACAACACCGAAATACCGTATCGCCGCCTTATCAACCCAGCCAAGCGCTAAATACTATCCAATGTCCAACCGATAATCCCACACGACATAATCGCTAAAGCAATTAACAATCTCTCAATTAAAATGCTATCACCGATCACGTTCATGAAGGCCGGTTTTTCTAACGACGAGTTCGGTCACATAGGCAGCTTCAGACGTCAACTATATATACACCCTGAACACAGCGACAAAATTCCGAGCTCGATTTTATTACAATTCGATCAAACGGAATACCGCATATTTTTATCGGATGACACTGTGACATGCTTTTCGTGCAAACAAACGGGCCACACTTCAAACCACTGTAAAAATACACCAGAATATAATGCCTAAAAAAAGGCATTTTAAAAAGCCAACTCTCGGCAACAACCCTAAAAATATCATGGACATCAACGAAAAGACAACCCAAAACACAGATAGCTCCCCCACCACCATGGATACATCATACACCGATGAAAACCTCAAGGAAACAACAACCAACTCACCAGCCACACAGGAATCACCCGTCCAGGAAAAAAGACCCGCACCATCAACATCTAGCTCCAGCTGCCAGGATAACACGTCTATCGCGAAAACCCCAACCGTTTCTACACCTCCCCAAACAGAAACCGTAAGGACACGGACCACCAACGGTATACTCGAAACCAAATTAAAAGAATCAGCCAAAAACCCACAACCCCCTCAAAAAAAACCAAAACGCACAAACTCGATTGAGCAGATAATATTGAAACTTGATGAAGCGCTACTTCCCGCAAAAAAGGCTTTTGAAAATATCCCAAACCTAAAAATCAACTACAATCAATTTAAATACATCATTGAAAACACACTTTCCGAGCCAAACCCCTCCCACATCGTAGAGGCACTCAACATCTCAACCATGGAAATGATTGTAATTATCGACACGGTGCGCCCGAAAATTAATAACCTTAGCATCAAGAATAGACTTACGAGACTAGCTAAAACACTTCTCTCGTCTCTTTCAGCTGTCCCCACCGACACTTCCCTATCCCAATAAAAATAATCCACAAATAGACAAACACCACTTTTATAATATAATATCTACAATGAAGAACCTAAACATAATACAATGGAATATAAATAGTTTTAACAAAAAACGTCACGATATACAATTAATTATACAAAAATACTCACCCATGTGCATTGGCCTCCAAGAAACAAACCTAAAAAACGACAAAATACCTAGCATTAAAAACTACAAAATCTTTTATGCTAACCGCCCAGACTGTACTCGGGCCAGCGGAGGCGTCGCCTTTCTAATACACTCCGACTATCCCAGCGAACAGATCACAATCCAGTCAGACCTTGAAGTTATAGCGGTCCAGTTAACACTGGAATCCAAAATCACAATATGTAACATATACATTCCAAACCAAACACCCTTCAAAACATCCGATCTAGACAGCATCATCACACAACTACCCAAACCCTTCATTCTATTCGGGGACTTCAATAGCCACAGTGTCCATTGGGGATCTGAAAAAACGGACTCCCGAGGCAAGTCAATCGAAAAAATTCTAGATAGTGACTCAATAGCACTCCTCAACAACGGCCAATCAACCAGGCTCAACCCTTCAAATGGGACCTTCTCTGCAATTGACCTGTCCATCTCAAGTTCATCGCTAGCCCAAAGAATTTCTTGGTCAGTTTTACAGGAGATGTATGACAGCGACCACCTACCGATTCTTATGACCCTGCTCTCCACCAAGACTCTATCTACATCTACCACCCCCAGATGGTTGTTAAAAAACCCAGACTGGGGATTCTTTTCCAATCTAGTTGACACTTTCATGGTGGAGAACAGTCGGATTCCACCCCAATTGACGATGACATCTCGTTTATCTCCGACTCCATTACCAGGGCCGCAGAAATTTCAATAGGAAAATCCACAAACCTGCGTAAGAAGAACCAAGTACCCTGGTGGAACGATGAAATAAAGGACTCAATCAAAAAAAAGAACTTAGCACTTAAAACATTCCAAATCTCAAAAAGCACCTCTGACTATATAAAACTGAAACAACTCAGAGCTAAAACCCGTTACCTCGTTAAAAGCGGCAAGGCCAAATCTTGGAAATCGTTCTCCTCCGGTCTGGGGCCCAAGACGGACCCATCCACAATTTGGCGCAGAGTAAGGGCAATCCATGGGCACCCCAAGAACCACCACATACAGATCATGAAAGACACAGAATCATGTACTGACCCCGACGAAATACCCAACCTCTTCGGTGAACTCTTCTATCTAAATAGTTCGGACGAAAACTACAATGCAACGTTCCTTAATAACAACATCCACATGAGAAACCAACACTATACATCCTGCATTAACCCCAATCTAGACGAGCAGACAAAACTCAACTCCCCAATCCAACTAGCTGAAATGGTCAGAGCTACATCAAAATGCTCCAGTCTCGCCCCAGGACCAGATGGGATACCGTATTGCTTCATCCATAACCTACCCATTTCCGCCCTGGAGTCAATCGTCATGATATTCAATAAAATATGGTCATCCGGAGCAATACCTAAAAAATGGAAACACGCTATAGTCATTCCGATACCCAAACCAAACAAAAACAAATTTGAAACCAAATCATATAGACCAATATCACTCCTCAATACCATGGTTAAAATTTTGGAAAAAATCATCGATTCCAGACTTAGATGGTTTCTAGAAAAAAACAATCTGCTCGATCCTCGCCAGAACGGCTTTCGTAGACATAGAAGTACAAGCAACACACTACATGATATACAAGCGGAAATCCATTCCACTCTCGAGACGAAACAAGTGATGGGCCTCATAGCCCTCGACATATCCAAAGCTTACGATACTGCATGGCGTCCTCGCATATTAAAAATCCTGTCAAATATCATATCTATTGACAAATTATTCAATTTCATAAAGAACTTCCTGACCGACAGAACCTTTCAAGTTAGGTGCAACGGCAAATCATCCAAATTATACACACAACACAACGGCGTACCCCAAGGTTCCACTCTATCGGTATCTTTATTTCTTCTAGCAATCAATGATATACCACAAGCTATAGCACCCCCCGTAAAATGTACACTGTTCGCTGATGACTTCAACTTTTTCTGTAGAAGCACCAGTCCCAAGACAACTATAACACACTTGCAGGACACGCTAACAACACTGCAGGACTGGTCACTCGTATCTGGTTTCTCCTTTTCGGTTGAAAAATCCCAGTGCACTTTTTTCACCAACAAAAGAAACATTGGTATCACCACTATAACAATGAACAACATACACATCCCCATCAAAAAGTCCATAAAAATATTAGGTATACTGTTCGACTCAAAAAACACATGGATACCTCATCTCAAGGCTATCCGAAAGGAGTCGCTCATAAGAATCAACACTCTGAAATGCTTCGCTCACAAGTCATGGGGTAGCCACTCTTCCAGCCTACTACAAATATACAAGGCACTCATCCTATCTAAGCTCGAATACAATTCTTTTCTGTTCATAAAAGCTAAGCCATCTGCACTCAAAATGATAGACACCGTTCACAACACAGGCTTAAGACTAGTCACCGGAGCTTTTCGCTCCAGCCCAATCCCCAGCGTCCTCAACATAGCCGGAGTCGCACCACTCGACATCAGGAGGGTACACAGCACCATGTTGCTTGCAATCAGACGCACCCAAAACAATCTCAAAGTAGCGAAACAAATCACGGACTCCCTAAATGATACCCATTTCCCGCACCTAGATGTTATTAAAAATGAAACCCCTCTGACGGCCCCCTGGCTATTCAACAACCATGTAAACAGTGAACTTAGCGAACTAGTTAAGAATGATACCTCACCCATAGTTTTTAACCAACATCTACAATCAATCACCTCCGATCTCTGCGACCACACTGAAATATTCACCGACGGCTCCAAAACGGATATCGGTGTTGGAGCTGCAGTAGTAGTTAAAGACCACGTATCAATGCTGAGACTCCCTAATTTCTGCTCAATATACTCAGCGGAGGCAACGGCAATTTCTTACGCCCTAGACCTCATCAAAACAAGACGCATACTCAAAGCAGCTATTCTAAGCGACTCGCTAAGCTCTTTAAGGAGCATAGAAAACCCCTTCACTCCAAACGAAATCGCCAGAAAAATTCAGAATCAACTGCATAACCTCACAAGTTCCGGATACTCCATAATCTTGATATGGATACCCAGTCATAGTCAAATCACGGGAAACGAGAGAGCCGATGAAAACGCTCGCCAAGCAATAACATCCCCGGACGCTATAAAACTTAATGCCTTTACTCTACACGACGCTAAATCTCTATCTAAAACAATCACAAACAACTTATGGCTCCGGACTTGGAGACTAGGTTCTACAAAACTAAACGAGATCAAACACACCACCCTAACATGGCCCTCTCCATCGAACACATCCAGGAAAATAGAGACGGCAATCAACAGAATGCGAATCGGACACACAGCGCTAACCCACCAGCATCTGATGAGGAAGGAAGACCCCCCCCATGTGTACAAGCTGCGGCACCCAGCTCACAATCAAGCATATTATATCTGAATGCCGCCAATTTGAGAGAGAAAAACGGGAAGCAGGAGTTTCATACATTCTCGCCGAAGCCCTTCAGCCAGCCAACATCCAGAACACGATATCATTTATAATCAATTCTAATTTAATCAACCTACTGTAAAATAACATGTGTATTAATATTAAGTAACTACCTTCCAATGTAACCCCATAAATTTGTAGTAGCCAATGGCCCTAGATGCCGAGGCTTTTATTAATAAAAAAAAAAAAAAAAAAAAAAAAAAAAAAAAAAAAAAAGTTAAAATAAATCTAGAACATCATACACCGAATATTAAATAACGCATTGAACAATGTTAGAGTCATATAGAGTTGGTACATTTAACGGGAAACGAAGTTCAGCTAGTATAGTATATTATGCCAAGAAAATTACAAATAGGTTAACTAGGTACTACTCAAAAATATAGAAAAATTATTAAATATACTATCGTATTACAATATGTATTTTTATTTAAAGTCGGTGAACACCGAGTCTAAGGCTCGGATTAAAAAAAAAATCGTTTAACATTGATAATTGATAAATATTTGTTAACTTTTATATTATTTTACTTATATTTACTTTTAATTTATTTAAATAATGCGTTATTAATCGTTATTATCATGATTTTAACGATAAGACCTACTTTATTTTTGAGTTTAACATTATAATATTTTATTATTAATATATGATTTAAATAGATCGACGGGATCAGCTAGTTTTATTTAAATATTTTATACAATTCTTGTTTATGTGGTATAGTTCTTAAGAATTTGTTATGAGTCATACCAAAGTAGGTAGTACAAATCAATTAAATTCGTTATTTTTATATTTATCTTAAGCTTTTAAGTAAACATTGATTATGTAAATAAGTTAACATTTAATTTTTTTTTATTTGGTGGGAGAAGTGGTTGGGCGCCAATTTGTATTTTGCCAGGAGCACCGCTATTGATCAGCCCGGCTCTGGTTAAAATGTAACTCCCTTATGGGACTGTAAAATATTGTCCATCCAATTGAACAGCAAAAATAAGTTGGTAAATACTTCAGAGTAAAATTTTTTACTTTTTAGGTACACTCGTTTACATTTTAGATTCTGAGCGGAACGATGAATGTATCGATTTTACAATGATGTGTTTTTTTTTAGTTTTCTTTAAATTTTTAAATTATATTTATTTTTGTGCTGTTATCACCTTTTAGGACAGTAAAAATGCTTAGACTTTCTTCAACAGTATCTTTTATGATAGGAAAGTGAATCTAGTTGCTACTTTGGGAGAGAGGGGATCAAGAGTGAAAATTTCCCAGTAGTTTTCAAAAGCGCCGTGAAAAACAAAAGAAAAAAGGTGGGTAAGTGGATGTCGCTCTGCTGTACTGTAGGTTACAAGTGGGTCACTGTATGATGGATGGTATTAAATTTGAATTCAATGATATAATATCATTGTATAAGAAG